AACCTGAGCTTTCCTTTTGCTCCAACCTTTATATTTTCATCTGACATTCATCACCTATGATGAACTATTAAAAATAAGGTTACAGGAAAAAGAATAAAGCTTTCAAGTTCAAACCACTCCAAGCTGAGTTGCCTTTGATCATTGGCAAAGAGTATCCATTTCATGCTTAAGTCTTGCTTGGTTTAAGCTGAGTAACTAACATAGGTGAGTTCTTACCCACCTATCTTATGCTAAGATACTTGGGCAAAAATGAGGAGCGAGCATCAGAAGTTTGTCCCAAGAGTTATCCCAGCAGCCCAAGCATAATGTTGGACATACCTACAACCGTTAATGACTCAGTCACAAGTTCTGGTCCATGTAGGCCAGCCCTGAACTACTCTCTATAGCCCAGTCTTTGTTTTGTTTGGTTTTTTCTTGAGGTGGGGTCCAGGCTAGCCCTGAACTCTTAATCCTCCTGCTTCAGCCTCTGGAGTTCTGGGACTACAAATATGTGTACCATGCCCAGCCACAGCCTAGTCTTAGTCCAACAGCTTATGTGCCAGTGTGAGTCACTGATTTTAGTGACTTCTTATTTCAATCTGACTAGCTTTGGTTATTATATCGCTTACTTTTCTGTTGCTATGATAAAACACCATGACCAAGGCAACTCATAAAAAGAAGGGCTTTGTTTGGCTTATGGTTCTAGAAGGAGAGTCTAATGACCGGAAAGCTATGGCAGGAGGTAGCCTGAGCAGAAAGCAGAGAGCTCACATCTTTAAAGGCAAACAGGAACCAGAGAGAGAAGAGAGTAAACTGGAAGTGGGGTCAGGCTATGAACCCTCAAAGCCTGCCTCCAGTGAACCTTCAAAGCACTTCCTCCAGCAAGTCTGCACCTCCTAGAGATTCCATAGCCTCCCAAACAGCCAAGTGTTCACATATTTGAGTCTGTGGGGGACATTTCCCATTTAAACCACCACACTTACACATGCACCTTTTTAGCCCTAGTGCTGCATAAGGGATTATTAGTGACCTTTTAGAAAATATGTTGTCTCTCCAACCTACTGATAGAACTTGCATGCACATGGATTCAGAGTTTTTCTAGAGCTTTGTGGTAGAGATGTGTCTTAGTGACCTGACCTTCTGCTTGTATCTCTGTTATCATTTGTTTCCATCCCACTTGGGGCTGAAATGTTCAACATAGTCCCCATCCTTAACTTGTTTTTTTTAATATTTTATTTATTATTTTTATTTTATGTGTATGAGTGTATTGCCTGCATGTATGTGAGTGCACCCGTGTCGTGCAATGCTGCGGAGGTCAGAAGAGGGCTTTGGATTCCCCTCGAACTGGAGTTAAGGATGGTTTGTAGCCACCATGTGGGTGCTGGGACTTGAACCTGGGTCCTCTGCAAGAGCAGTTGGTGCTCTTAACTGCTGAGCCATCTCTTCAGCCCCATCCTTAACTTGTTTTAAAGTGTCTTATTAGAGTTCAACTTTATGTTGTATCCAAGCTACTGTCTTTAGGGGGATAAACATACTGGTGAAATATTTTCTTTATATCTTTATACCTTTCAAAGAAAGTTACTGGATATAAATTCTTATTTTTATAAGGATCTCACTCTTATTAGGTTAGGGTCCACCCTAATGACCTCATTTTAATGTCATTACCTCTTTAAAGACCTCATTTCCATACACTTCAGGACTTTGAGTTTGAATTCTGGTGGGGCACACAATTCAACTTATAAACATGAAGAGACTCCAGGCTTCCAAGAACTTGCTAGATACTGTGGTATACATCAATTTTTTTTAACCTTCACCAATATGCCATACTTAAAACACATTGTGATCCCATTTCATAGATGTGAAAACTGAGTTGATGAGTTTGACTCATTGTGTACAAACATACAACTTCAGAATTTGAACTTAAGTCTGCGTCACCCACTCTACCATCCTCCGTGTTACTTTCTTCTCAATTATTTTTTTTCCTTCACAAAAATATTTTGAATAAATTCACCCCATCATTTTAGCTAGGAAACTTTACTTTTATGGTTTGGATTTGTTAGAAAGTACTTCTGCCCCTGATACCTATACAGCTTCTCCACGTCTCTCAACTGTCTCTCATAGATCTCAGGACTCAAAGTGCTGTTCGAAGATCCACACAGGTAGGAGCATCCATTCTGCCACTTCCCTCTGATAACCAAGATGTCTGATGAAGAAGGGAGCTCTACTAGTCTGACATGCTTCATCATTTGGAAATCTTTAGAGTCTCTCAGGCAGTAAAGTGCTGTTAAATGGGAGATTTCATCATAAGGGTAGAGTCTTTTCACTTTGGGTTGTAAGTCAAAGGATGGAGATATACTATAGAGAATATCTGTGGGTAGAGGGTACAACGTAAGGGGAAAACTCCTGAGGCTGTGGGAGGAGACTAGTGATGAAGATGTCTCATAGTCCCAAGAGTTATGGTGCCCATCTGGTTGTAAAGGCAACCAGGAGAGTGTTAGACTTAAGATACACACACACACACACACACACACACACACACACACACACACACAGAGTTCACTGCCAACCTGCTGTGCAGAGTGAAGGAAATCGGTATGGGACATTGAACACTTGCTCAGTCACATCTATAGGTAGTTTGTGGTTGACTAAAAACACTTAAAAATCATGATTTCACCAAGAAATGAAAATGGTACCTTTCTTAGCAACAATGTGTATATAGATCCATATCAGGGAGGATTTAATTCTGGTTACACCACTGATGGCTAGTGTGTCTCAGGCAAATTAATAAGTTTCGTTGAGCATCAATTTCATCATCTGTCAAACCAGTGTGAGGATTGCTGTGAAGGTCAAATGAAGTCACGTGCAAGAGCTCTTAAATCTTTACAGTCTACACCTATTTTAGAGCTTACTCTTTTACCAATCTATCAGAACTTTCAATTAGACTGACTTTTCTAGTTTGATTCTCCAATTTATGCAATATCCAGGTCCCTGTTTTCCTTCTTTTTAAAATTTCTTGCATGAGCTCTAGTCCCTTGAAACTTATGAAAGAGATCAAAGAGCAGTTAGGAATTTTTACTTTTTAATTTTTTTATATTCATAAGAAAAACACTGAAAATAGACCACTTAGTGAAGAGTTTGTGTATACCAAAAAAGCAGCCTGTCATATTTGAAAGGAGCTGAGCCTTTCTGAGGAAATTACCTGTCACCTGGTTTCAAAATAGTCCAGACAGACTCCCAGCAGATGCTGACACTTTTAATTTTTCCTCAGAGTTATTAAGATGGTGCAGCTTCAGGAGCCGTGCTCCCAGATCATCCTTATGTGCCAAGTGATTGAATAGAACATGTGACAAGGATCTTTCCTCCATGATGAAGCACCATGGAAAATCCTGAGTTGGCAGCTCAGAAAGTGATTGCAAATCAAGCCTGTGTCTCATTGTCCAAGCAACTGTGAGCAGGTCTCTGGAATAGGGAATCTCTGTGTGCTTGCAAATGAAGGTTGTGCAGGTCTTGTTCCCTCTCAGTAGAGTGTGGACGTTCCCTCAGTTCAGGAGTCAAGGTCACTGTTTATCCTGCATGCCAGAAAGAGATACAGGAGCTGTTTGTCGGGTGTATTGGAAGCAGGGAGTAAGAACTTGGAAAGGTGTGGGGCTCTAGTTGAGTCTGGTTGAGTATCTTGGAAGAATCTCGGCAGCAACTAAGTTCCTGGGGGAAGCACTTTCACAGACCAGGACATTGGTACTTGGTTATTCAAGAAATCGAGGTTTCAGCCAGCCTGACTTTTACTGTTTTTCAGTTTCCTAGCTAAAGTTTCTTTCTAGCTAAAGAAAGATGGCTCCTTTCTGATGTGTGAGATAAGACAGGGCTATATTTCCGTTTAATAGAACTCAGGCAGCTGGTAGCATCCATTGCCTATGCTCTCCAAGGAAATCAGTTAATTTCAATTATATATCAGGATTGTAACTAAAATTTGGCATCTTATTAACTGGAGTGAGCTCATTTGATATACCCGTGTCTCCTCACCCTCACCCCGCATGCCTTTTTTTTTTATTGCTGGTATGTGATGAGGTAGATGCCAGCAAGTCTATTATACTGACAAATGCTAATCAGAGATAGGAGTCCAATTTTAAATTCAAATTCACTGTGCACTATTAAGTTTTCTCACATTGTGTGCTTTTGATGGCCTCATTTGCATGATTTTTTTCTAAAATATGCATTTCAAGCCTACAGTTCATTATCTGAGTATTTTTTATTTCATATAAGTTTTTTGAGAAAGTTTTTTTGAGGGTGTGAAAAGGTTATCAGTTTGTAGCAGAGATACTCTGTGAATTCCATATGGCTGTATTAATGGTTATCTGACATCTGGCTAGATAGCATAAAAATTCAGACCATTGACTCAAAATGCCTGGGTTCAAATCCCACCCCTTCCAGTCTACCTATGTGGAGTGATGTAGAGAAGATATGACAAATCCCATATCTTTATCTTTATTTTTTAATTGAGATAGTAATAGCATTTACCCAATAGGGTTTTAAAACCTCAGTAGGAATGTACATGCCACCCAGCTTCCTCTAGGTTACACTGCAGTAACAATGGATCTGAAATAGGAGTGGCTTACATCTCCTTCATATTCATGTCCATCATGGGTTGACTCTGTCTCTGCTAAATAGCCTCTTCATTCTGGTACTCTCAGCATCATAACAGAGAAGGAAACAAGGTAGCACAGCCTCTGCTTGGAAGCAGCATATGCTGCTTGCTTCCAATCTAACTGACCAAATCAAGCAGCTCAGTCTGATGTTAAGTAAGCAGGGAGGATGAAATTAAATACATATGACTGGACCACAGTAAATGCTTGAGGATCATTAGTTGTTATATTGAGTCCTGTTCATAAACATAAACTGTGAGGTGGGATTCTGCTAAGCCATAGTACTGACCTCTGTCGGGGCAGAGAAGACATCTGTATGCTTGTCAGATGGTTTTGATAAGAATACAGTAAGATGCTGAGTCCTGTCTTTGAACTTTCCAGGGAAAGTGGTCTATGGAGAACCAATCGCAGCAGGTCTGGGCACTGATGGCACACACTACTGGAGTAAAGAATGGCACCACGCAGCCCATCATGTCATGGGTCCACCGCTGAGACCTGATCCTTCAACACCTGGCTTTCTCATGAATCTGTTGGCTAAGTAATCATTTTTGCAGACAACTGTGAAGTGTTTGGATGAAAGGAGAGGCTTCACAAGCTTCAGCTTTGGGTGGAGGAGAGCTTGCCATGCTTCTACAACTTCCACATACCATTTTGTCTTCTGTTTTGTTTGACCTGATGGCATTTGGGGAACAGAAAATGCTGGATTTATGTTCCTTCAGCTATGTTGTCAAAACCTCTTCTGTCACAGATGGGGGAGGGACCCATGACCCCCCAGCTCTCCCTGAAGGACTATTGGCAGTTAACAGTTGAGAGGGATGTCATTTAACGGCTGAGTTAATGGGCAGAACATTGCCATTTTCTTCCATGGTGAGGCCACTGATTCGTTGCCTAGTGAATAACCTCCCACCCATGCTTGGGGAAGAAATTCAAATTCAAATTGGTGGGTCACACAAAAAGAAGGCAAGAGGGGGACTTGCTGAGAAAGGTTACAGTAGGAGATGAAAGGGGAGAGGGGTAAAGACAACTAAAATTTATTATGAAATGTATGAAATGATCAAACAAAAACCCATTTTCTTGACACCAAGAAATCTGATCATTTCTCTGAAATTGTATTCACTTCTGATTTTTTTCCATCTCTGGTGCTTATAGCCCAGGCTCTTCCTTCCTTCCTTCCTTCCTTCCTTCCTTCCTTCCTTCCTTCCTTCCTTCCTCCCTCCCTCCCTCCCTCCCTCCCTCCCTTCCTTCCTTCCTTCCCTTCTTTTTTTCTTTCGTGCTAAGGATTGAACCCCAGGGCCTTGCAGGTAAGTAGTCTACCATTCAGCTATACCTCCAGCACAATTCCTTATTTTTATCAAAAATATTCTTGATATTTAATTTGTTACTGTAATCTTGGAGCCAGATTGTTGTATAGGTAATGTCACTTTCTGGATGAGATGCCCATTGTTCTTGAAAATAACATTCTGGGACATTCTAACATTCTCCAGTCACAGATACCTGGATTCAAATCAGCAGAGCTTTTCACAACCAACTGAATGAGAATTCCTTGGCTCTTTTCCTTCAACCTCCTTCACACTTCTATGTCCCTGAGATTATTTACACACTAAAGCAGGATTCTAGTCCCTGATGACAAGCATAGTTGTTCTCAGCCAGTCTCTGGAGGAACTGCCTCCATTCCGATAGCCCACCATGATGGTATTTTTGGTGGCACTCTACCCACAAGAAATTCCTCCCTGTTTTATTCTTTGGAACCCTGATGTTAGGTTTGTCAAGTCCATACAACCAGTTTCTAGATGAGACAATCTCATAACTACTAGGCTAGTAAGTTTTAGAGCTGAGCCTAGAATGCACCCCATTATCTCACAGTTCACATCTCCTCTCAACTAGTCTTCTTCCTCAGCTGGTCTAGGAAATCTAAAAACAGTAAAAGCCAGGCTTGCTGATGGTCCTGCATCATGATTTTTGTGAGCGTGTTCTCTAAAAGTGCTTCTTAGGATAAAGACAAAAGAGAGGTGAAATGTGCGCTTGAAAATTCTGCTCATTCTCCCTTGCTTTGCTTGTGGAGAAGAGTTGGGAGGGTCGGAAACCTCGTGGAATTCCTCCCCATGTTCTGTACACTCACACCCTCACTCTCGTTTCTCATTGTTTTTCTTTTCAGTGATGATTTGAGCACAACAGGGACTGACCACTGCACTTTCAACACCTGCCAGAAAGCTCTAGGGAAAGATGACTTCACTAAGATTCCCAATGGGGTGAATGGTGTTGAGGACCGGATGTCAGTGATATGGGAAAAAGGCGTGGTGAGTTCACTCAGGATCCAGTTTGTCTGGAGACCAAAATGGCATAAACTTTCATAGAGAAGTTTTCTGACTGGGAATTGTAATACTGTTACCATCAGCTCCAACCCACCCCACTCTAGGACATTGCAAGCAAAGAAACAGTTGTCTTCCCTGCATAACCCATCTCAGAGGATGTGTTGTGCCATTTTGCAGAGACACTGGGGACAAATTTAGGTTGGGTACAGAGAGGATTATTTTTGGTGTCTGTGAATTGCTTCTGTTCAACTTCATTTCTCACATTGTATGTATGTGTGTGTGTGTGTGTGTGTGTGTGTGTGAGAGAGAGAGAGAGAGAGAGAGAGAGAGAGAGAATAGGATGAAAGTTGTCTTCCTCCAGACACTCTCCACCATATTCTTTCAGAGACAGAGTCTCTCATTGAGCCTGGAGCTCACGGTTCAGCTGACTAGATGGTCAGCAAACCACAGGGGTCTTTCTGTCTCTACTTCCCAGTTCTGGGATTCCAGGCATGTGCCACCATACTTGACTTTTTCTCATAGGTTCTCGGGATCAAACTCAGGTCCTCATGCTTGTGCAGCAAGCACTTTCCCCACTGAGCCTTCTTCCCACAGCCTCGTGTCTCACATTTTTGGATCCTAATGCTTTTTGTAAATACTAATGAAACACTTGAAATGATAGAAAATACATGGCAAGTATTTATTATGTTCACACTTCTTTTTCATGAAAACCTTGAAAATGTCTCTGGTTAAAGAGCCATTGGATATGATATTTTAAATTTTGCTTTAAGAAGTATCATAGATAATAAAATATATGGTGAAAGTGATTTTTAATTTATTTATTTATTATTTTTATTTTATGTGTATGAGTGTATTGTCTGCATATATGTAAGGGCACCCATGTTGTGCAATGTTTGTGGAGGCCAGAAGAGGGCATTGGATCCCTTGGAACTGGAGTTACAGTTGTTAGCTGCCATATGGGTACTGGGCATTGAACTCAGGTTTTCTGCAAGACTGCCAGTGCTTTAACTATGGAGCCATCTCTCCAGCCCTGTGAAAGTTATTTTTTTAACTTCTTCTGAATAAAATGTTCCCACCTGAGGATGGAGCAGATGACATGTATAGTTACAAAGATCATCAGGAGAGGCTGTGTGGACTCGAGGCACCCGATGTCGTGCTGTTCACACCTGCCTCCAAGGAACCCTCTCTTAGATGACACTTTACTCATATTTCACAGAATTCTCTTTGATTGCTTTTTCTGACATATACCTACTTCCAATTCTAGTTGTTCACCTTCTTTTCATAATCACAGCTAGTTGGAGCCTCCTATTTTGTTTGGACCATTGCAATGGTCTCAAAGCTGGCGTCCTTGTCTCCATGTACCACTTGCTGCAATCGATTCTATGCCAGAGTTACCACTCAAAACAGGAAGCTCTGTTCATGTTGCTTCCTTCTCAAAAACCCTTCAATGTTCTCCATTACTGAAAGGGTGGTGTTTGAGCAAATAATTTGCTACAAGGATCTTCAAAACATCACTCGAGTTCTAACTCTTCCTGATCTTTCTCCTGACCTCCTCTTTCTTCACTCTTTTTTTTCTCTTTCTTTACAAGTCACTTATTTATAAAAATTCAGGTGGATTTTATACATTGCAAGGAACTGTGAGTCACATGGGATATGGCAGTCACACACAAAGATTTAGGGTACAAAGAAACAGGGCATATAGTCTGTTAGTTGGTATCAGAAGGGTGCTTAAACTTTTACTCAAGTCTACCAATGCCCATCCAGTAATTTATTGGCCACAATGTTTTCTTTCTTTCTTTCTTTCTTTCTTTCTTTCTTTCTTTCTTTCTTTCTTTTTTAACATTTCATGGTTGCAAAGATTTTTTTTTAATTTTTACAAAAACTTTATTGAGAATTTTATACATGCATATAAGATGTTTTGATCAAATCCATGTCCACTCCCTCCCCTCCAACATTCCCCGCTCTGAAGAGGTAACCCTAAGATCTTTTAAGGATTAGATACAAACTCCCAAATACTTTTGACATTTTTGGCCGTTGGAACAGAATATGTTGCTAACAGGCCCAAGGACATTTTGACTTTCAGCCAAGAAACTGGTTACATTTCTTTTGGTTAGTAATAACCTTAAATATCAATGGAGTGAACTCCCCAAGCAAAAGACACAGGCTAAGCAAATGGATTAAGAAACATCTCTTTGCTGTCTACAAGAAACCCATCTCACTTTCAAGGACAGGCACTACCTTAAGGTAAAAGGATGGAAAAGAATATTCCAAGAAAATGGCACTAAGAAACAAGCAGGGGTTGCAATTCTAATATCTGACAAAATAGATCTCAAAGTAAAACTAACCAGAAGAGATAGGAGGGTCATTTCATTCTGATCAAAGGAACAGTGAAGCAAGAAGATATTACATTTCTTAACATATATGAACCAAATTCTGGTGCACCCAAATTCATAAAAACAACACTACAGGACTTTAAGACACAGATTAACCCCAACTCAGTAATAGTAAGAGACTTCAGTATTCCATTGTCTCCATTAGACAGGTCAACTGGACAAAGAATAAACAGAGAGACGTCTGAATTAAATGATACCATACACCAAATAGATCTAACAGATATCATTCGATTATTCCACCCAAACACCAAAGAATACACTTTCTACTCAGCACCTCATGGAACTTTTTCAAAGACTGACCACATATGGGGCCACAAAACAAACCTCAACAAATACAAAAATATTGAAATAATTCCATGCATTCTATCGGACCACAAAGCAATAAAACTCAAAATCAGCACTGGATGAAGCTCTAGTCACTACACGAACTCGTGGCGATTAAACAACACACTCCTAAACAATGAGTGGGTCAAAGGAGAAATTAAGAAAGAAATAAAAGGATTTCTGGAATTCAACAAAAAGAACAATACAACACAACACAACCTCTGGGACACATTAAAAGCAGTCCTAAGAGGGCAGTTTATAGTTCTAAGTGCTACATTAAAAAATTGGAAAGAGCCCAAATAAATGACCTAACACTGCAACTCAAGGTGCTGGAAAGACAAGAACAAATGAAACTCAAACCCAGCAGAAGAGAAGGAATAACAAAAATCAGAGCAGAAATTAATGAAATAGAAACAAACAATACAAAGAATCAATGAATCTAAGAGCTGGTTCTTTGAAAAGCTAAACAAGATAGACAGGCCCTTAGCCCAGTTAACCAAAAGAAAGAAAGAACAAATCCAAATAAACAAAATCAAAGATGAGAGGAAACATCACAAGAGACACCCAAAAGATCCAAGCCATTATAAGAGGATATTTTAAAAACCTATATGCTACTAAATCTGAAAGTCTAAAAGAAATGGATGGATATCTGAAATCATGGGAACCTCCAAAGTTAAACCAAGAATCAACAGTTTAAACACACTCATAACATATAAGGAAATTGAAACAGTAATACAAAGCCTCCCAACTGAGAAAAGCCCAGGCCCAGACAGATTTACAGCAGAATTCTACCAGACATTTAATGAAGACCTCCAAACAATACTACTTAAATTATTCGAAATGATAGAAGCAGAGGGAGAACTCACAAATTCCTTCTATGAAGCCAACATCACTCTAATACTTAAACCAGGTAAAGACACAACCAAAAAAGAAAACAATAGACCCATATCCTTAATGAACATAGATGTGAAGATTCTCAACAAAATACTTGCAAGCCGCATACAGACACACATAAAAAAGATCATTCACCATGATCAAGTAGGCTTTATCCCAGAAATGCAGGGATGGTTCAATACACACAAGTCAATAAACGACATAGATCATTTAAATGGGCTCAAAGACAAGAACCACACAGTCATCTCAATAGACGCAGAGAAGGCCTTTGACAAAGTTCAACATGCTTTTATGTTTAAAGTCCTAGAGGGAATTGGACTGGAGGGAACATACCTCAACATAATTTAGCCGCATATAACAAACCCGCAGCCAACATCATTCTAAATGGAGAAAAACTGGAAGCATTCACATTGAAATCAGGAACCAGACAAAGATGTCCACTATGTCCACTCCTTTTCAACATAGTGCTTGAAACTCTTGCTAGAGCAATAAAACAGGAGAAGGAAATTAAAGAAGTACTAATTGGAAAGGAAGAGGTCAAACTATCACTTTTTGCAAATAATATGCTACTATACCTAAGAAATCCCTAAATTTCCACCAGAAAACTCCTAGAACTGATCAACACTTTCAGTATAGTAGCAGGTTATAAAATCAGTCTACAAAAATCAGTAACCTTTCTATATACCAATAACAAGCAACTAGAGAAAGAATATAGGGAAATGCTCCCATTCACAATTGCTACAAAAAGTTAAAATATCTTGGAATAAATCTGACAAAAGACACCAAAGATCTCTATAATGAAAATTTTAAATCATTAAAGAAAGAGATTGAGAAAGACACCAGGAGATAAAAGGGCCTCCCATGCTCATGGACTGGAAGAATTTAATATTGTTAAAATTACCATCCTACCAAAAGTAATATATAGATTCAATGCAATCCCAATCAAAATCCTAAATTATTAACACGTTGAGTAAAGTGGCAGGTTACAAAATTAACTTACAAAAGCCTGTAGCCTTTCTATATAACAAGCAATCAGAGAAAGAGTATGTGGAAACACTCCCCTTCACAGTAGCTGCAAATATATATACATACACACACATATATATATATATATATATATGTGACATACTTCACAGAATTAGGAAAAATCCAACCTTAAATTCATATGGAAGCAAAAAGACCCTGGATAGCCAAAGCAACCCTGATTACAAAGCAGATCTCAAAGTATACTACAGAGCTATAGTCATAAAAACAGCATGGTACTGTCGCAAAAACAGACACATAGATCAATGGAGCATAATTGAAGATCCAAACCTGAGTACATGCAATTTCAGCCACCTGACATTTGACAAAGGTGCCAAGAACACACAATGGAAGAAAGACAGCATCTTCAACAAATGGTGCTGGCAAAATTGAACCTCTACCTGTAGAAGAATGAAATTAGATCCTTATCTTTCATCTTGCACAAACGTCAACTCCAAATGGATCAAAGAACTTAATGCGAAACTAGAAACCCTGAAACTATTAGAAGAAAATATTGACAGTAACTTACAGGATATAGGTGTAGGAAAGGATTTTCTAAATTGGACAGAAGTTGCTCAGGAATTAAGGTCAGCAATTAACAAGTGGGACCTCATTAAACTAAAAAGCTTCTGTACAGCAAAAGAAACAATCAAAAAGGTGAAGAGAAAACCCACAGAATGGGAAAAAATCTCCACCAGTGACACATCTGACAGAGGTTTAACAGCCAGAATATATAAATAACTCAAAAAACAAAGAAGCAAGAAACCAAATAGTCCAATTAAAAGATGGGCTAAAGATCTAAACAGAGAGTTCTCAAAGGAAGAAATAAAGATGGCTAAGAAACATCTCAAAAAGTGTTCAACATCATTAGTAATTAGGGAAATGCAAATTAAAACCACCCTAAGGTATCCCCTTACCCCAATCAGACTGGCTAGGATCAAGAGAACACATGATACCAAATGCTGGCAAGGATGTGGAGAAAGGGGAATGCTCATTCACTGCTAGTGGGATTGTAAACTCGTACAGCTTCTGTGGAGAACAGTGTGGAGAACTCTTCGCTCTTAACTCTAACCATCTCTGATGACTCCCTTTCTCTTTCTACTTGCTTAGATATTTTAGGTGCAGTCCAGCCTTCCTCCTTGAACTTGTGTTATTACAGTAACTCTCTTTAAGACAACAGATTTTCATAATCCATTATCATTCTCAGGTGCTATATAAACATACACAGTTTTAAAATAATTATTTCCTAATAACATGCATGAAACTGTATCATTTTCTGAAACATTAACGTAGTTTATTACTGGACTATTGATTCATTCTTAATAATTTTTGAGGTAGAGCTAATTAAACAAATCCCAAGGGTACTCTTACTTTCTAAATATACACAAGATCAAACCCTTTCAGAGTTCCTTATTAAAATCTCTTACAATAGACTACCCAAGATTACTGGTTCACATAAATTTCAGTTGTACAAAACTGAAATTTATATTGTATTGATCTTTCACTTTCATGAAGGTATTGTCATCTGATTTAAAAGCATCACTATCTTGTTTTAACCATGTAATATTTTACTTAATGTTATATGATCATCACATAAGTCCTAGCTTTGCAATGAATAAGCTAGATCATAAGCATTGTAGGTGGTCATAGAAAACTTTAAATGTGAATGGAAAATACCATTGTCAGCATTTAGTCATCATTTGTAGCAATCATGGATGATTCTGGGACAGGTGGGAGGAAGAAATAATAAGTTTATTTATTCATTTATTTATTTTATTTTATGTGTATGAATGTTATGCCTGCATTTAAGTGCACCCATGTCATGCAGTGCCCATGGAGGACAGAAGAGGGCATTGGATCCCTTGGAACTGGAGTTACAGATGTTTGTTAGCTGCCATGTGGGTGCTGGGATTGGAATCCAGGTCTTCTGCAAAAACAGCCAGTGCTCTTAACCGCCAAGCCATCTCTCCAGCCCCATAGGTTTGTTTTTTTAATCTGATAGGTTTTTAAAAAGTAGTCTTGAGTTTCTATACATCATTGTCTTAATCAATGATGTTATGATTGGTTCATATAGGAAATCAGCAGTTCTGTCTGAGTTAAGAGAAACATGACTCGAACTTTTATTGCTAGAGGATTTTTTTAGTGTTTGATCATCGCAACAAATGCATGTTCTTCTTTGAATTGTTTTACAGCACAGTGGTAAAATGGATGAAAACCGATTTGTGGCAGTCACTAGCACAAATGCAGCCAAAATCTTTAATCTTTATCCAAGAAAAGGAAGGCTAGCTGTTGGGTCAGATGCTGACATTGTGATCTGGGACCCAGAAGCCACAAGGTAAGTCTTAGCTCCTGTGTTTCCCAGTTTTACCCTGGAGACAAAGCACTAACTTGCAAAGAAATTTTGCTTTGGTTTTATCAGCCTTTGCTTATCAGGTGATTTATTTAGCTGTGGTCAGGAATTCCAAGCCTGTGCACAAGATGAAGGTTTTAATGCACAAATATTTCTTTGTTGTTCTTGGCCATGAGGATTCAAAAGCTGTGTTGAATTCTCTGGAAATGGATGCATATAGAAAACCAATATGAATTTACCACTTCAGTGCTTGGAAGACGTCCGAGTTCGCATGGAAGGGATGTGCAATGCAATTAAAAAAATAAAAGGCTTAATTTGAAAAGAGCTGAATTGAAAACTCAAAATAATTACAGCCTTTTAAAAGCTTTCAGATAGAAAGGTCCCAGCACAAAAGACGTCACTTTTAGTTAGCCAGATTTTCCAGTTGAGTTCTTCTCCTCTTGTCATTCCCAGTAGACCTGAGATTTTTGTTTCCTGTTTCCATAATTCTGTGTTAATATTGCAGGGCTGGCAAATTCCAGCAACTCAGGGAAGTATTTGATAGAGGTTGAAGTTCTGCTGAATTCTCCTTATAGAATGTTAGCCCCAACAGTCCTTGCATGCTGATTTGTGATTTGTGCTTCTGGATAAATGTGGTCGCAATGGAGGAAATCCCACACTCTTCATTTTGTGTACGTACCCAGCAGTATGAGGAAGGCTCTTCTGCCTTCCCTACATGGGCATTCATTCAAAGCCTAGTAGGCGTGTTTTTATTGTAGTTAGCAAAAGTACAGTTTCTGGGATGTGATACTGTCAGAAAGACCCAGCTTCAACTGAAGTGCTCTTGGGTCACTTTTTCTGGGAAAAAGATGATCATTTGAAACATGAAGGAAGTTACCGTGACTGTGAGCCTAGAAACAAACGCAGATGATCTCTGATAAAACCGTTGTCTTTTTGTGGTTTCCACTGAGAGATGCTCGTTGTCCCTACCTAGGGACCAGGTCATGAAGTTGTCAGATCATGGTGATGGCAAGTAGCCTTTGGTCAACACTGTCAGGACCTTGTCATTGCTTTAAAACTCATGCTAAGCAATGAACAGTGGTATGAGTACCTTAGCTCAGGAAATATCCTGAGATAACAGCCAGTCACAACTCAAGGTCTTTGTTACATGTTAACAGGGAACTAATGCCCATTTAGAGAATCAATATTTAATAAAACAAAATGTATGCAGCTTTTCAAAGAGTCTAGGAAAATTGTGCTTGGAAAGATAATGGGAAGACAAGCGCTCAGATTTAGATTGGACTGTGGATGAATCGAGCTTGCTGCCTTTAGAGAACTCCTGAGAGTTGAAGATCCACTCTACAAGAGGCTATTGTAAGCCCAACAAAGGCCTGCCCAAAGTTATTTTGCTATAATTCAGATAATTTAGGCTGTGCCAAGGCTAAGGCTAGGTAGGTCTTCTGAAACATCTTGTGGCTTGTATAGATCATGAGGTTTAATCAGAAAAGTTAGAAAATTTTAAAATAGAGAAAAACTCTCTATGGAAGGAATATTTGGGACAAATGATGAATTTTGAAGCCTCATATCTGGGAAAATCATAATGATAATTGGTAATAGTTTGTACTTGCACAGAGCTCAGTATGGCAAAAGATATGTTGGCACCTAAAAGGATCGGTATCATTTACCAGGTAAGACAAAGGAGACAGCTATATGGTGATGAGAAAGCTGCTGCTGTGCGGCAGTATGAGTGACAGGCTTGCTCAGAGGACCATGATCCCAGGGCCCTGACTTTATAAACTTGCGTTTTCCATGGAACTCTGTGCTTTCTGTCTCCTGGCATCAAAACAGAACGCTTCCTACTGTACCTCATTTTTCATGTCCTATTTTTCGTCCACTGGGGTGGGGGGAGTAACGAATTCCTTTTTGTATTTGATTCTTTTCTGTGTTATTCCTTATCAAAAGAGGGAAGAAAATAAAGATGCTCTGTTGAACAGTGGAACTCTCCATCTAGTTAGTAATCCCGTGGAGAGCCTTAGGAGGCCGTTTCTATGGCTCTTCTTTTTAACCCTCCACCTGGGTGTCTCCAGCAGGGCCCAGCTGTTTTTGTTCCTGAGGATCATACCAGCTCAGGTGTAAAATGTTTCTTTCTTAGACAAGTGGACAAAGAGAAATGGCCAGAACATAAGATTGTGAATAATTCACTTGCTTTATTTACCACATATTGCTGCTTGGAGGATATTTATAGGCTGTGATTATGTCTCGTTGAGTCACGTTGAAAGCTATACAAATTTAGATCACTTTCTCACAAGTTCCAGTTACTGATTTCTATAGCATTGTTTTGCCCTTCCTTTCCTGTTCATTTGTTTCAGAATAGTGCATAATGATCCAGATATGTAGTTATTTTTTTCAAGTCTATATACTGCTTAATTTCCCCTCAATTCCATTCTATAAATAACTGAGCCAAGGTCAAACTCAAAACTCCTGTGCTACATAGGCATTTAGTCAAAGTCTGCTAGGCATTTATTCATTTCATCCCCTCTGATCAGTTCTTTCTTTACTATTTCTTACATAATAACTGTTCTTTCTATAATAACGACTAAAAACATTCAACATTTAAAATTTCATATATTTTTCTTTTGAGTAAAGATCTATTCAGCCTTTAACTATGAGTGTTAAGACTTCTTTAGAACTACAAGTCTACTTTAGTGTTACCAAGTATTCTTCCATGCTTTCAGTCTGGGTCTGCTTACTATGGATACCTCAGTGCTAGGGTTCATGAAAACCAGCACAGCCCCATCAGACTGATATTAGATTCTGGCCTGAGCACCACCAAGGGCCATTTAAAGTCTTTGCAGGGCTCAGTGTGGTTGGTGCTCAGTGGTAGAGACCTTGTTGAACTTCCTGAGGTTCTAGAGTCAATTCCTGCACCACACACACAGTACAAAGAATCAGTGAAATAAGTCTCTACATATCTACTCCCTCATATGTGAAAGAAGATAACTAATTACTATGTCTATCACAGGATTACCATGAAGCAACACACATGAACATATTTTGTAAGCTTGGGTGGTGCTACATGGGGCTGGGAATGTAGCTCAGGTCACAGAGTGCTTGCCTAGTGTGCAGGAAGCCCCAGGTGTGGTGGCATATACTGTAATCTCAGAACGTGGGAGCTGGAGGCAGGGGATCAGAAACTCAAGGTCATCCTTGACTATATAGTGATTTTAAAGCCAATCTGGGATACATGAGCTCTTGAGGAGGGGAGGGGAGAAGAAAGGGAGAGAGGGGAAGAGAGGGAGGAGGAGAGAGAGAGCAAAAGAGAGAGGAAGAGAGAAAAGGAAGAAACTTACATAACCTTAAGATATATATCATTATGGCGACCTTATCTTTTTCTAGTTTTTCTGGGGTCATACTTTGCAGAATATTTACATTTTTAGATATTCTCAACTAATTACTGTTGTGCCAGGCTGGCAGATTAATCACAGAGTTCTGTTGTGCTGATCTTTTCCTTCTGCTTTTATTTTATTAACTTTTTGAAGGTAGAAAAACATTATTGATATAATAAACCATTCTAGAACTGCTTTGTAGTTCTAGATATTAAATTCTGTAAGCTTTTTCTTTAATTCACCAACTGAATATGTTGTACTAACATGATTCATCTTTTTCCATGTGAAATCTGGAAATTTGTACAGTGTGGGAAAGAAGAGAGACAGAGTTGTTGAGGAGGAGGTTTTGCAGAATAACGAATTGGGTGAACATATGAATGACAAGAGTGTTTCTCAAGGTTCCCATTCAAAGGGAGAGACTCTCACAGAAAACATGCATTCATTTTCTGTTCCAGGATTCCATATTACACTTAGTTGACATGTGTCCTGAGGCTGGTCTGACCTGTGACAGCTTCTCTTACTTTATTTTTAATGACCTTGCCAGTTTTGAGGAATATAGTTCAGGTATTTTTGGAATGTTTTGCTATCATGATGGTTTTCATTTGTCTTAAGTGTTTTGCCTGCATGTATGTCAGTGCACCCATGCATGCAATGCCCATGGAGACCAGAAGAGGGCATCAGATCTCCTGGAGCTGTAGTTTCGGTTAGTTAGCTGCTGTGTGGGTGTTAAGAACCAAACTCAGATCCTCTGCCGAAGGAGCCAGGGCTCTTTTTTTTTTTTCTGTAAACTTTTAATTGAATTTTTTGTATTTCATACAGAACATCTTAATATTAACAACCTTTTTACTCCCCCACTGGCCCCCTCCTCTAGTCCCCTGACAAGTTAATGTCCCCAGACATCCCTCAGTGCAAATTCATTCACTGGGGTCTAGTCAGCCTTTCTAGAGTCCCTCCTTTTAAGAAAATCAGCTCTTCCTCACCAATAATCAGCTGCTAGTAATTCTTTGATTAAGACTGGGGCCTGTTGTCCATTTCTACAGCTCTGTGCTGGGGTTTTGTCTGCTTGAGTTTGCATAGGTTTTGTGCATACTGACACCATCCCTGTAGGGTCATAGAGAAAGGTCCCAGGAGCTTGTAGGACTCAATTTCCATACAGTCATGCGCCTCCTCCCTGGCTCTTACAATCTTTCTGACCCCTCTTCTGCAATGATCCCTGAGCCCTGGGTGGGTTGAATTTTAATATAGGAGTCCTGTCCAAGGATCAGCATTCTGCAGAGTCTTAGTCTCTACACTCCAGCCATTATGGCCTTTTGTGTTTTGGGCCCTCTGTTGCATGAGGGGGCTTCATTAATGAGAGTTGAGATATTCATTATTGTCTTCTTTATCCCTTGTTCTATGTTCCATGAGCTTTAGGTATAGAGGTTGCACTATAGATGTACCACTTTGACTTGGGCACTTCACAGACAATGTCTGTGTGTGACCAGTTGTAGTATTCTGTAGTAGAATAAGATTTTCAAGAGCAGGAGGAAGAACTACTTTACTGGACTTGCTTTCTTGAAGCAACCCCTTGACTTTTGAGGCTTGGAGTAATTTGTTAAGTAGAACTCTTAGGGAGGAGAA